CCTAGGCCTTAAGGTTCTTTAGTTATTGATCGGAAACCGTTTTTGCTTACAAGGTCAATGTGACCTTGACCTTTGACCACTTGACCCCAAAATATATAGGGGTCATCTACTGATCATGACCAATCACCATACCAAGTTTAAAGTTCCTATGCCTTAAGGTTCTTTAGTTATTGATCGGAAACCATTTTTGCTGACACGGTCAATGTGACCTTGACCTTTGACCCCTTGACCCCCAAATCAATAGCGGTCATCTACTGATCATGACCAATCACCATACCAAGTTTGAAGTTCCTAGGCCTTAAGGTTCTTTAGTTATTGATCGGAAACCGTTTTTGCTTACAAGGTCAATGTGACCTTGACCTTTGACCCCTTGACCCCAAAATCAAAAGGGGTAATCTACTGGTCATGACCAATCACCATACCAAGTTTGAAGTTCCTAGGCCTAAGGGTTCTTTAGTTATCACTCGGAAACCATTTGGTCTACGGACCGACGGACAGACAAGTGCAAAGCAATATACCCCCTTTTCTTCGAAATGGGGGCATAATTATTGGTCCGGAACCATCCATTGGAAACTTATCTTCTAAGATTTCAAAAGATTATCCCTGTTGCCTATCAACCGAGGAATCATGGGTTTGTTGTTTTGGGTTTTATGTCACATCGACACAGTATAGGTCATATCGCAACATTCCAGCTTTACTGGTGGACGAAGACCTCAGGTGCCCTTCCATGCATTATTTCAGGCACGAACAGGCACCTGAGTAGAACCATCGACTTTCTGTAAGCTAGCTGGAGAGCTTCCTCACGTGAAAGAATCCAAAGTCCCTGTCGGAATTTGAACCCACAGCGGTGAGGGGCAAGTGGTTTGAAGTCAACGACCTAAACCACACGGCCAGGGACGCCACCAGGATCATGGGTTTGAGCCCTACTGAGGCCATAACTATGGTTCTTATGACACTAGGGCACCGTGTTCTCAAACTAAAGATTAGGAAAGATCATAGAAAGTCCCAAGTGTATGCCAAGTCCTACGACTTATGACAAATTATATTTCAATTTCAGTTGAAGTTTTATTTTCAAAATCTTTTATTTAATTCATTCTCCCGAGAAAAGTTACAAACAAGAGCCCGGTTTGAGCCGGGTGATGCTCCCCGAATAGGTTTTGGACACAGGAAAGTACACCTCTTGTAGTTTAAGAGTTCCTGGAGAAAGTTCAAAGTGCAATAATTCCAAAATTAGGCAAGGCAGAGTTACAGTTCTTTGCACTGCACTTCTAATCAATGTAATCTATCAACCTACAAAGTTTCCTGATGATATCTCTTATGATTTCCGAGTTATGTCCTGGACAATTCAAAAAGTAAAAATAAACAAAGGGCAATAACTCCAGAATTAGGCAAGGTAGAGTTATGATTCTTGTGCACTGCACATCTACCCATTGAGATATATCTACATACAAAGTTTCATGTTGATATCTCTTATAGTTTTACAGCTATGTCTTGGACAAGATTTTACTAAAAGGGAGATTATTCAAAAATGAGGCTTAAGAGAGTTATGGTTCTTTTGCACTGCACCTCTACTCAATGAGATCTATCTACCTACAATGTTTCATGTTGATATCTCTTATAGTTTTAGAGTTATGCCCTGGACAAGATTTTTCTATAAGGGGAGATAATTCAAAAACCGGGCAAAATAGAGTTATGGTTCTTTGACACTGCACTCCCCCTCGATGCCCTCTACCACTGTATGAAGTTTCAACAAATTATCTCCAAGGGTTTTCAAGTTATGTTCCGGACAAAGTTCAAAGTATTAAAATTAACAAAGGGCAATAACTCCAAAATTAGGACAAAAAGAGTTATTGTTCTTATGCACTGCACATCTACCCATTGAGATCTATTCACCTACAAAGTTTCATGTTGATATCTCTTATAGTTTTAGAGTTATGCCCCGGACAAGATTTTTCTATAAGGGGAGATAATTCAACAAGAGCTGTCACAGGAGACAGCGAAGCTCGACTAATAAAATACTGGACGCAGTAAGGAGGACAAAACTATGAAAGAAAAATCAATTATATATAATTATGTATTAAGTTATAGTAAAAAAATAACATTTGTTAACATAAATTCCAAGATCAAGGGAAATAATTCTAGAAATAGTCATGCTAGAGTTATGGACCTTGCCACACAACATTTGTGTAATGATAAGAAATATATATTTGAAGTTTGAAGTAGATACCTTAAAAAATAAAGAAGTTATTATATTTCTTAAGAAAATCCTAAGTTCAAAGAGAGATAAATCTGTAAATATTGCTTCAAGAGTTATGAACATTGTCACATAAAATGTAATTGATGATAAGGAATAAGTATTTGAAGTTTGAGGTAGATACCTTTAAAAATAAAAAAGTTAATATAAAACAAGAGGGCCATGATGGCCCTGAGGTCGCTCACCTGTATATAGGTCGCCCCAACCCCCCCCCCCAAAACATTGCAGGGCCAATTTAACCAAAGGGCTTTTATTTGCACAAACTTGGTAGACACCCATAAGAAAATGTTTCATGCTAAACATCTAAGCTCTAGCTCATTGGGCTATTTAAAAGAAGATTTTTTTAAAGTTTTTACTATACACATATAGTTAAAAACAATGACACGCCTGGGGCCGGGCCAGTTATGACCCCAGAGTTTTTATTTGAACAAACTTTGTAGACACTTAATAGAATATGTTTCATGCTTAATATCTAAACTCTAGCTATTTGGGTTTTTTCAAAGAAGATTTTAAGTTTTTGCTATACACATATAAGGAAAATCAATGACCCCGGGGAAGGGCCAATTTTCACCCCAGGTCTTTTATTTGAACAAACTTTGTAGACACTCACTAAAAGATGTTTCATGCTTAATATCTTAACTCTAGCTATTTGGGTTTTTTCAAAAAAGATTTTTTAAGTTTTTGCTATACACATATAAGGAAAATCTATGACCCCCGGGGCGGGGCCAATTTTGACCCCAGGGCTTTTATTTGAAACAAACTTGGTAGACACCCACTAGAAGATGTTTGATGCTAAATATCTTAACCATAGCTCTTTGAGTTCTTTAAAAGAAGATTTTTAAGTTTTTACTATATGCATATATAGGGAAAAATCAATGACCCCCCGGGGCGGGGTCAATTTTGACCCCAGGGCTTTTATTTGAACAAACTTGGTAGACACTTATTAGAACATGTTTCATGCTAAATATCTTAGCTCTAACTCTTTTGGTTCTTTAAAAGAAGATTTTTTAAGTTTTTACTATATGCATATAGGGAAATTAATGACCCCCTGGGGCGGGGCCAATTTTGACCCCAGGGCTTTTCTTTGAACAAACTTGATAGACACCTATTAGAACATATTTGATGCTCAATATCTTAGCCATAGCTCATTGAGTTCTTTAAAAGAAGATTTTTTAAGTTTTCACTATATGCATATAGGGAAAATCAATGACCCCCCGGGGCGGGGCCAATTTTGACCCCAGGGCTTTTATTTGAACAAACTTGGTAGACACTCACTAGAAAATGTTTCATGCCAAATATCTTAGCATTAGCTCTTATGGTTTTTTAAAAGAAGATATTTAAAGTTTTTTCTTTCGGTTGCCATGGCAACCAGAGTTCTGCATGGAATTAAATTCTTTGAACAATTTTTAAAGGTGACCACCAAAGGAACATTCCTGTGAAGTTTGGATGAAATTGGCCTTGTGGTTTATGAGAAGATGTCATTTAAAGTAAAAGTTTACGGACGACGGACGGACGACGGACGGACGCCGGACGAAAAGCGATCACAAAAGCTCACCCTGTCACTTTGTGACAGGTGAGCTAAAAATAACATTTTTCTAGTAAATAAATCTAAGGTTATGGGGAGATAATTCTTGCAATATTAGTGCTAGAGTTATGAACCTTCTCACATAAGATGTTGATGATGATAACGTAAATATATTTGAAGTATGAAGTTGATCCCTTTAGAAATAAAGAAGTTACAGTAAAAAATAATATTTTTTATGGAAAATTCTAAGTTCAAAGGGAGATAAATCTGAAAATATTGGTGCTAGAGTTATGAACCTTGTCACATAAGATGGGGATGATGATAATGTAAATATATTTGAAGTATGAGGTTGATCCCTTAAGAAATTAAGAAGAAACAGTAAGAAATAGTATTTTTTGAGGAAAATTCTAAGTTCAAGGGGAGATAATTCTGAAAATATTGGTGCTAGAGTTATTAACTTTGTCACATAAGATGGGGATGATGATAAGGTACATATATTTGAAGTATGAGGTTGGTCCCTTAAGAAATAAAGAAGTATCAGTAAAAAATAGTATTTTTTAAGGAAAATTCTAAGTTCAAGGGGAGATAAATCTGAAAATATTGATGCTAGAGTTATTAACCTTGTCACATAAGATGTGGTTGATGATAAGGAACATATATTTGAAGTTCGAAGTTGATACCTTAAGAAATGACAAAGTTATAGTGAAAAATATTTTACTGCACCAAAACTTTAATCTAAAATCTGGACGCGGACGCCGACGCGACGCCGGGGCGAGTAGGACAGCTCTCCATATACTTCGTATAGTCGAGCTAAAAACCGGGCAAAATAGTTATGGTTCTTTGACACTGCACTCCCCCTTGATGCCCTCTACCACTGTATGAAGTTTCAACAAATTATCTCCAAGGGTTTTCAAGTTATGCTCCGGACAAGACAACGGACGGACAGACGGACAGACGGACAAGGCGCCGACTATATGCTCCCCCGAAATTTTTCGGGGACCATAAAAACAAGAAGTAAACTCTATGGTTTATTCAAATAAGATTCAAACTTTCACAAAAATCAAGATAAAATAAATATGTTTCTCTTTAATTACCTTCTTTCTTTTTAATAAAATCAAATGACTTTCGAAGGGTTCACAAAAATCAACATAAAATAAAAATGTTTCATTTTTCTTTCTTTTTTCATTCCTTTCACATAAATGAGGTTGTAGTTCTTCTCACCTGTTGTATATAGGATTCAAGTTGTCCCTGCCATTCTGTATGAATATTTAATATTTTGTCCCTTTCTTCACACATCTTTTTTAATTCCTCCCTGTTAACAGAAAAATAACATATGTTATAACAATTAAATATCAAACCTAAAAACACAATAAAAATCTTACATTCACATGTCAAATTTCAATTTGGACGCAACTGTTCATCATTTTTTTAAGCAAACACTGCAGACAAAGATCAAACAGCACTGAAGTAAATGGTGATCTTGTTCTGCAATGGTTGAATGGATAGAATGATAGAATCAGTTGCCCCAAGGAGGCTAATGGTTTCAATGTATACAATGTGGCCATACCACGTGACTTTTCGGGTACGGAACACGCCGATTTTTCACCCGATTCAGGTATGTTTTTTATTCATAATTTATTTATTACTCAACCGATTTTGATCAGATAAGGCGCAGAGTACCCGTAATTTTATCAGCTTTCCACGGTATATCAAAATTCTGAAAACCCCTGAATGGTTTTTGAGAACATTCGAGTACAGTTTTCTTCTCATAGCCGGGGCCGAGGGGAACGGTACACACTCATTTGTCATAACAAGCGATTTCTTGCAAGTCATATGTTTTTTGTCACTATTTTATAGAAAAATACATGTTAAATCTGATATATTTACTATGTGCAATTTATCGAGTGAATGCAGTGATGTTTTAGCATATTTTCATAAAGTTATGTCGAAATGGTACGGAACACACTGTTATTTAAAAAGATACGGTACACACTCAATTTCTGTCTTTGAAATAATTCTAAAATAAAATATATGAAAATTTAATTTAAATTATAATATGAGTGATTTTTTGTCATAGTTATACATTTTATTAATTTAAACAAGAACCCTGGGACCTGTTTTGCAATGTATCATTATGCTTACTTCACATGTTAATATGTATTTGTGCATTATATTTCAGGAGAAATTGTCCTTCTAGTACTTAAAATTACCTAGGGTATGTTAAACACTTCATTCTTCAAAGAATCATGTAGTTGCGTTTCAAATGATTGTTCTATAGAAAGAAATGTTGTTATAATGCTGTGTTTATTGTTGTTGTTGTTTTATTTATTTATTTTAGTTTTAGTGAAGTATAAGATATGTCTTTTTGCTTGCTCCTGAAAAAAATAAAACAATGTCATGACCTAAATCGCTGAAAAATATCATTACTTGATAACATTATATATATTTATATTTTGTTAATAATAAGTAAGTCACTAGGTACAGTTTTGCAGTATCATGGTCATGTTTAATTATATCAAAACACAGAAGGCGCTGAATTTGTTTTGGTCTCAGAATGTCAGAAAGGTGAAGGTTATGAGATTACAAACCAATTTGTTTTTGTATAGTGCCACCAATGCTGTTTCCAGTGTTATAACTGTAGTAAATTGGCTATTATGCTTATTACAACACTGATATTCATTTCAATGTTTATTTGGCTTGAAAAAAAAAATAAATAAAAACACGAGTTGCCTTAAATGGGATTTGAGCTCAGGACATATCTCTCTCTCTTTCTAAACGAGCGTGTAATTATCCCCTCGACCACGGGGAAGTTACACGATAACAGCCTGAAGAAACCATATCATTCTAAATTTGAGTTTGTAACCCTTATTTATTTCGTTTAACACTGGTGTAAATAATCATGGAGCTTATTATTGCATGTATATCTGTAAAGAATGACACAATGTTTGAAACCTTTGACCAACCGGAAAGTACTTTTCTTCCCCTGAGAAGGCTTGAAAATTAATGCGCCTGTCATTTGACTCTCTTTACGCAGTGATCTCCCCTTATTTTATCGGCGTTAGAGTACTTATTAAGGTTAGTAACCGCTTCCAGGAGTTCGGACTACTTTCTGATGTTGCAAATAAGCACTATATTAGAGTCTGAAATTTCGCTACAATTATTTGTTTGGTCTGACGACCCAAACAAATAAAAATGTAGTTGCCATGGCTTAATTTTTTTATGTTTAAAGGCATGAAGCTTAAAGAATAACTTTTTAATTCAGGTAATATAGGTCATTTTTGGTTTGGTTTCACGGCTCACCAAAACTGACATGATCATGTGGCGACTTTCCAGTTTTACAAGTGCCCCTTTAGATATATATAAAGGTACGAACGGGCACCTGAGTAGAATGACCGACGTTCTTAATATTATTGGGTATTAATAAAAATATCAAAAGTGTACTATCCTCGTAAGACATTGTTTAATCATTTTATTTTTAACACAAACACGCAAGCACACATATCCATGAAATCGTGTTTTTAAAGCATCTTTAAATGAAAGTCCAAGATAGGCATAATTTCACCAAAATTTCTTACATGTATATGTAACAAGGTTACTTTGTATAAACTACGTTACGTTATATAACAGACCTTGTTCCCATATGGGTTCTTCAATTTATCTGGCTTTTTATTTTGATTGCATGTAAAACTGCGGAATATCTTTGTCCATATGTAGATAATTTGATAATTAAATACATGCAGTTAGTTTGGGACCCTGGCAGATGAATCATACCAAATATCATGTTGCAGAAAAATACTTTAAACTTTCCGTGATTTAAATAATCCACTTTCATCAAAACCAGCGTTTTTTCTCCAAATTCTCTAGATTCGATCAACATTTAACTGCTTGTTTGTTTTTTTATATTCATACTCGGTTTAGACAGTCATTTATATATTTGAACAAAAAATTAAATGGAAGAATAATCGCACATAACAGATGTCCATGAATTTCATAATTTGTTTTATAATCCGAAAAAATTAACATAATTATTTCAAATGAAAAACATAACAAACACAGTTTTGAATGTATTCCTTATCCCTCCCTAAAATACTAACATTTTATAGCCAAACATTAATTGTTTAACATTTAAAATCGAATTTTGCGCTACGTACTCTCAAATGTTTCTTTTTTTTTTTTAGTAATCCTGTTTACATCAAACTGTAGGCATAATGATACATTGCAAAACAGATCCCAGTATTCTCGTTTAAATTAATAAAATGTATAACTATGAAAACAAAATCACTCACATTATAATTCAAATTAAATTTTCATATACTTTATTTTAGAATTATTTCAAAGACAGAAATTGAGTGTGTACCGTATCTTTTTAAATAACAGTGTGTTCCGTACCATTTCAACATAACTTTATGAAAATATGCTAAAACATCACTGCATTCACTCGATACATTGGACATATTAAATATATCAGATTTAACATGTATTTTTCTATAAAATAGTGACAAAAAACATGACTTGCAAGAAATCGCTTGTTATGACAAATCAGTGTGTACCGTTCCCCTCGGCCCCGGCTATGAGAAGAAAACTGTACTCGAATGTTCTCAAAAAATATTCAGGGGTTTTCAGAATTTTGATATACCGTGGAAAGCTGATATAATTACGGGTACTCTGCGCCTTATCTGATCAAAATCGGTTGAGTAATGAATAAGTTATGAATAAAAAACATACCTGAATCGGGTGAAAAATCGGCGTGTTCCGTACCCGAAAAGTCACGTGGTATGGCCACATTGGTATAGGGCGCAAATTATGCAAACTCAGATAATTACCTAACAGAATATTTTGGAATACAGACTTAATGTAGTAAGCATGCTTTGAAGCTGCCGTACTGAAATCTTGTCAAATTTAGAAATCACAGTGGAAAACATCCTCTCTTGGGACAAAATTTGTTTTAACAAGATCTGTTCGTAAGACAGAGCACTCCGTGCTTCACTTTTAATGGCACAACTGTCAACAGTTAAGGGACCTGAGCCCATTCAAGGTTATGGGACCTTAGCCCATTCAGAATTATGGGACTGGAGCCCATCATGAAAGGTAATCGCATCGCACAAGTGTGTTATGTTTCAACCCTTTCCCTTCAGTAGTTTTGGAGATATGAACTTGCAAGCAAATACACTAGTTTTAAAGCAATGCGAACGCCTGCGTGAGAACAACAGCTCTCCTTTACTCCTCCAATAGACAAGCTTACATGTTTACAAAAACTGTCAAAACAAAGCGAGAGTGGTTTCAGGATTATAACAATAATACTGGTCAACAATCAATATCTACAAATTCACTAGGATTCATAATTCTTTAAGTGTGTTTTTTTTTTCAAATTGGTCTATATGCTAATATCGAACTTATCACGGCAGGTAATCAACCTATTTGGCTTTTACTGGATAACTAACCAGTAATTACCAGTTTCTGAAATATTTCTGTAGCTTCTGAAACGGTAGTAGACAAATAACCACTAGACTCAATGAGCATGATCAAATGTCCAACAGAAAAAAAACTGTCAAAACAATGTGTGGCGGCATGGCTGAGTGGTTAACGTGTCCGTATGGGTTCAAACCCCGTCAGGGGCAAGTCGTTGTTTCCTTAAGCAAAAAACTTTACATTCATTGCTCAGTACCAGTTGGATCCAGGAACAGATTCATCAGTGTTTATAAACTTTAAGATTCGTACACAATCAAACTAAAATAAATTCTGTATAAACCAAACGTCATAGAGAAATTTCGCCTTGCCTTAGTATCGAACAGGAAAACTGTGAATATCAAATACAATGCTTTCCCTATCGAGTTATTCAGGCGGAATCAAATATAAAGCATTTCTGACACATCTCTTACCTGAGTTTATTACATTCAGATTCGTACTTAGTGGTGATATCTAATCGTTCAGCATCAAACGATAACTTCAGTTCTTCCTTGAGTATGTTTTTTGACGTCTCAACATTCTTCTAAAAAAAGCAACAGTACGCAATTTCTTAAAATAGCAACAATGACGCAATTTCTAAAATAGGAACTATAACACAATTTGTAAAAATAGCAACAATAACACAATTTCTAAAAATAGAAAAAATGACGCAATTTCTAAAAATATCAACAATGATGGAATATTTAAAAATAGAAAAAATGCCGCAATTTCTAAAAATAGAAACAATGACGCAATTTCCAGAAATAGCAATAATTTCTTAAAATAGCAAAAATGACGCAATTTCTAAAAATAGAAAAAAATGACGCAATTTCTAAAAATAGCAACAATGGTGCAATTTCTAAAAAAAGACAAAATGACGCAATTTCTAAAAATAGAAAAAACTAGAACTATCACTAAATGTGATTAATACCCCCACAAGACTGCTTCGGAAATGAGGTTGTTACTAGTAACAGAATACCTTGTAAAAGAATTGAAATATAGAGTTATGGTTGTGGGCAATTAAAGATAGTTGTGGTTCTTGTATATTGCATTTTCTTTCAATGTGGTTGACCATTGAAGAAGTTTTATTGAATTACTCTGTAATAAGTCCAGAAATACAAAGAAAAGGAACAAAGGGCAATAACTCTATAAATACTGAAGATGGAGTTATAGTTCTTGTGCACTGCACTTCCTCCCTCTTTTTGTGCTTGACCATTGTATGAAGTTGTTTTGAATTTCAACCAGTACGTTTTAAGTTATGCTCCAGACAAGGAAAAGTATCAAAGGGCAGTAACTCTGTATTTTGTCAAAATGGAGTTATGGTTCTTGTGCACTGCACTTCCTCTCAATGTGCTTGACCATTGTATGAAGTTATATTGAATTCCAACCATTAGTCTTCAAGTTATGCTCCGGACAAAAAAAAAGCAATGGAAAAGTAACAAAGGGCAGTAACTCTGTAATTAGTCAAGATGGAGTTATGGTTCTTGTGCACTGCACTTCCTCTCAATGTGCTTGACCATTGTATGAAGTTATAATGAATTCCAACAATTAGTCTTCAAGTTATACTCTGGACAAAAGAAAGCAATGGAAAAGTAACAAAGGGCAATAATTCTGTAATTACTTTAGATAGAGTTATGGTTCTTATGCACTGCACTTCTCCTTACTGTGTTTGACAATTGTATGAATATGTTTTGAATTCCAACCAGTAATTTTCAAGTTATGCCCCGGACAAGGAAAAGTAACAAAGGGCAATAACTCTGTAATTAGTCAAGACAGAGTTATGGTTCTTGTGCACTGCACTTCCTCTCAATGTGCTTGACCATTGTATATAGTTATATTGAATTCCAACCATTAGTCTTCAAGTTATGGTCCGGACAAAAGAAAGCAATGGAAAAGTAACAAAGGGCAATAACTCTGTAATTACTTTAGATAGAGTTATGGTTCTTGTGCACTGCACTTTCCCTTATTGTGTTTGACAATTGTATGAAGTTGTTTTGAATTCCAACCAGTAGTGTTCAAGTTATGCCCCGGACAAGGAAAAGTAACAAAGGGCAATAACTCTGTAATTAGTCAAGATAGAGTTATGGTTCTTGTGCAATGCACTTCCTCTCAATGTGCTTGACCATTGTATGTAGTTATATTGAATTCCAACCATTAGTCTTCAAGTTATGGTCCGGACAAAAGAAAGCAATGGAAAAGTAACAAAGGGCAATAACTCTGTAATTACTTTAGATAGAGTTATGGTTCTTGTGCACTGCACTTCCCCTTATTGTGTTTGACAATTGTATGAAGTTGTTTTGAATTCCAACCAGTAGTGTTCAAGTTATGCCCCGGACAAGGAAAAGTAACAAAGGGCAATAACTCTGTAATTAGTCAAGATAGAGTTATGGTTCTTGTGCACTGCACTTCCTCTCAATGTGCTTGACCATTGTATGTAGTTATATTGAATTCCAACCATTAGTCTTCAAGTTATGGTCCGGACAAGGAAAATGCAACGGACGTCTGGACCGACCGACCGACCGACCGACCGACCAACCGACCACCGGGTGACTCCTATATACCCCCCCAAACTTCGTTTTTGGGGGTATAATGACGCAATTTCTAAAAATAGCAATAAATTTTAAAAAAAGCAACAATGACGCAATTTCTAATAATAGCAAAAATGATGCAATTTCTAAAAATAGAAAAAATGACGCAATTTCTGAAAATAGCAACAATGACGCAATTTCTAAAAATAGAAAAAATGACGCAATTTATAAAAATAGCAACAATGACGCAATTTCTAAAAATAGAAAAAATTACACAATTTCTAAAAATAGAAAAAAATGACGCAATTTCTAAAAATAGAAAAAATGAGGCAATTTCTAAAAATAGAAAAAATGACGCAATTTCTAAAAATAGAAACAATGACAAAATCCAACTTCAAATAACAAAGTTATGGACCGGACATGATTTTGCTGCAAGGTCATGCTGTGACCTTGACCTTCAAGGTAGTGATCCAAATGTTGCGCGCAACATGTAGTCTCAATATGGTGATCATTTCTTTAAAATATTTTTAAAATCCAACTTCAAATAACAAAGTTATGGACCGGACACGATTTTCCTGCAAGGTAATGCTGTGACCTTGACCTTCAAGGTAGCGATCCAAATGTTGCGCGCAACACAGTGTCTCAATATGGTGATCATTTCTGTGAATTATTTTTAAAATCCAATTTCAAATAACAAAGTTATGGACCGGACACTATTTTGCTGCAAGGTCATGCTGTGACCTTGACTTTCAAGGTAGCGATCCAGATGTTGCACGCGACACATCGTCTCAATATGGTGATCATTTCTGTGAAATATTTTTAAAATCCAACTTCAAATAACAAAGTTATGGACCGGACATGATTTTGCTGCAAGGTCATGCTGTGACCTTGACCTTCAAGGTAGCGACCCAAATGTTGCGCGCGACACGTCGTCTCCATATGGTGATCACTTCTGTGTAATAATTTTAAAATCCGACTTCAAATAACAAAGTTATGGGCCGGACACGAATTCCGGATGTACGTACGTACCGACTGAAGGACGGACAACCTGCAACTATATGCTCCCCCTAAATTTTTCGGGGAGCATAAAAACATAAACAAATTTAGGCATCAAAAATAGTGGAAATGATCATACCTCCGTCAATTTTTGGTTAACTTTGGTTATCAGTGAGGTGGGGGCCACCTGGATCAATGTATCATCATCAATTTCACGCTTGACCTTCACCGCCTCATGGACATCTAATGCCTTATTACTTGCCAACTCGAAACCTTCAGTAATCAGACGTGAATGAAGGCCCTACATACACAAGTATATTACTTTATAATGGTTCAACACTTTACCATATACTTTTTTTTTTCATTTAGAAAAAACATTATAGCTGCAGCAAATAGTAACTTACAGATTGATAAATGCATCTTATATTCTTGAAGTTATTTCCCTAAGAAATTTGATTTATCTACCGTAAAATTCCTATTAAACGCCCCCCGGGGCGTAATATTTTCCAAATTTTCCAAATTTCATGTTGGGACAAATTTTGTGACAGACAGACAGACAGTGCACAACTAGACTTGGTACTGATCATTCCTGTAAAGTTTGGATAAAATTGCACCAGTAGTTTATGAGTAGTAGTGCGGACAAGCTTTTGCGTATCTGGCAACACACAGAAAAAAACACCTTTTTATCAAAGGGCCATAACTCGGCCAAAAATCATTCAACCGGAAAACCCGTGCAATATGCGCAAGGACTTGAGCTACAGATCAATCCTGTAAAGTTTCATTTAAATTGCATGAGTGGTATAAGAGAAGTAGTCCGGACAAACTTTAAAAATAAAAATTATTAAAGGGCCATAACTCTGACAAAAATCATTGAACCGGAAAATGCTGACAATATGCACAACTAGACTTGGTACTGATCATTCCTGTAAAGTTTGGATGGAATTGCACAAGTAGTTTATGAGAAGTAGTCCGGACAAGCTTTTGTGTATCTGGCAACACACAGAAAAAGAAACCTTTTTATCAAAGGGCCATAACTCGGCCAAAAATCATTCAACCGGAAAACCCGTGCAATATGCGCAAGGACTTGAGCTACAGATCAAACCTGTAAAGTTTCATTGAAATTGCATTAGTGGTATAAGAGAAGTAGTCCGGACAAACTTTAAAATTAAAAATTATTAAAGGGCCATAACTCTGACAAAAATCATTGAACCGGAAAATGCTGACAATATGCACAACTAGACTTGGTACTGATCATTCCTGTAAAGTTTGGATGAAATTGCACCAGTAGTTTATGAGGAGTAGTCCGGACAAGTTTTGTGACGGACGCACGGACAGACAGACAGACAGACAGACGGACAGACAGACGACGGAGAAGTGATCCCTATATGTCGCCACTACTCCGTAGAGGCGACACAAAAATCGTAAAATCAAGCAATGCCAGATTAATTCATGTAAACAGCATCAGTTTATGGCCTACGTGACCTCAGTCATGTTTATCTGTCTCACAGGTGGCTCGGTGACGTAATCGATCGATAAATGTGTAGACAATGTATATTTAACAATACACATAACGCTGATTAAATTTAACTGCTTAATCATGGAGCAAAAGCAACCAACACATTGATTTTACAGCGTTTCTTTTAAGTTAAAAGTTGTTGGTATTGCCGAGCAAGTTGGTAAACACAAGGCAAGCAAATTATTTAATGTTGACAGGAAACGCATTCGAGAGTGGTGTAAGGCAAAAGAAACGTTGCAAGCAGCTGCCTGCAAGAGTCGTAAACGTGCACCTGGCAGGGGTAAGCAAGTTCGATACAGAGACATTGACCAGCAGCTGTTGCTGTGGTTTAATGAACGTCGGGGGAAAGGAGTGCGTGTTACTGGGAAGGCCCTAAGACATGAAGCACTTAGATTACACCAACAGAACGGGTCACAGTCATTTAAGGCATCCTGCGGTTGGTTTAGGTGCTTTAAACGACGTCATAACATTTCATTCCGTCGCACTACCCACATTGCCCAGAAATCAGTTGAAATTACTGATGGACTTATTGACAAATTTCTACGTTTTGTTATTCGTATGCGCCAGTTAAGAAATTATAACTTGTCAGAAATAGGCAATATGGATGAAACGCCTGTTTATCTTGAAATGCCCGGGAAAGCAACGTATGACATTCGTGGACAGAATAATATAACTGTAAAATCTACAGGACGCGAAAAAGAGAAAATCACCGTCACTTTAGGCGCCTATGCAGACGGAACAAAACTTTCGCCACTGGTCCATTTGCCTGGAGTACGACCTTTACCTAGAGGTGACATTCCATGTGGAATTATCGTGTACATGTGCGGCAGCGGTAAAAAATCTTGGGCAAATGAAGAGAGCATTTTATTTTGGTTGAAAAAACTCTGGGGCAGAAATCAAACAAGCCGGCGCTTACTTGTTTGGGACGCATTTCGCGCTCATTTGACTGATAAGGTCAAGGATTATTTACGTACACACTGCAACACTGACATGAGTGTTATACCAGGAGGCTGCACGTCACGTTTACAGCCCGCAGACGTTTCATGGAACAAACCATTTAAGGGAAATGTTGCTGAATTATATGACGAGTGGCTGTTTTCTGGGCCTGTGGACTTAACTCCTGCCGGGAATCGAAGGGCACCCCCCAAGTCTCTGATTCTCAAGTGGATTAAAACTGCCTGGGATACTGTTACCCCTGAAATGATTAGGAAATCATTTAAAAAGTGCGGGATTTCTACTGAGTTGGATGGAACTGAAGATCATCTCTTTAATCACGCTTCTGATGACGAAACTGTCGAATCGGACTTTGAAGGGTTCGATCCCGATGATGTGAACATAAGTGAGCAGGTGCTGGAAAATGTGGCTGCAGAACTGTCTGAATCTGATCAAAACAGTGATTCAGATGATCAGGTGTCTGACTGTGACAGTCCTGGTCATTAACTTTTCTAAAAACGTAAGACTCACGGTACATTTCTATGTACATATGTACACGTGCCATTGGATATTGTACTGTTACGTTAAGTGTTAATTAACGTTAAAAGTGTTAAAAGTTTTAAAACTTTATGATTCTTTTTTGTGTTATCGATTAAATAAAGTGGATTTTGAAGGATTTGAATAGTTTTGGATTTACTTTTGAATTTTGCACTGGTGAGTAATTTTTTTTCCTTGTCAAAAAACCTGGGGGGGGGGGGCCTTTATTAGGGCAGGGGCGTTTAATAGGAATTTTACGGTACTTTAGTTTTAATCATTATACAAAATATGTAATTCAATAAATTATATATACTTGTACCATAAATACGAGGGTTGTTCAAAAAGTAATAGGACTGCAAGTCTACTGTTGACATTTTTTTAATTTATATGCACAATTTTACAAGATAATAATTATATCAAAAGATTTCCTCTATAGACAGTGAAAAAATCAATATGTTAAAACAAGAGGGCCATGATGGCCCTGAGGTCGCTCACCTGTATATAGGCCCCCCCCACCCCCGGGGCCAATTTTTACCCAAGGGCTTTTATTTGTTTATTTGAACAGACTTGGTAGACACCCATAAGAAGATGTTTCATGCTAAACATCTAAGTTCTAGCTCATTGGCTTTTTTAAAAGAAGATTTTTAAAGTTTTTACTAGACACATATGGTTAAAAACAATGTCACCCCTAGGGCAGGGCCAGTTTTGACCCCAGGGCGTTTATTTTAACAAACTTAGATATTTACTTAAAGATGTTTCATGCTTAATATCTAAACTCTAGCTATTTGGGTTTTTCCAAAAAAGATTTTTAAGTTTTTGCTATACACATATAAGGAAAATCAATGACCCCCCCCCCCAACCCCCCGGGCGGGGCCAGTTTTGACCCTAGGGCTTTTATTTGAACATACTTGGTAAACACCCATTAGAACATGTTTCATGCTAAATATCTCAGCTCTAGCTCTTTGAGTTCTTTAAAAGAAGATTTTTTAAGTTTTTACTATATGCATATAGGGAAAATCAATGACCCCCTGGGGCGGGGCCAATTTTGACCCCAGAGCTTTTATCTGAACAAACTTGGTAGACACTCATCAGAAGATGTTTCATGCTAAATATCTTAGCTCTAGCTCTTTGGGTTCTTTAAAAGAAAATTTTTTAAGTTTTTACTATATGCATATAGGGAAAATCTATGACCCCCTGGGGCAGGGTCAATTTTGACCCCAGGGCTTATATTTGAACAAACTTGGTAGACATTCACTAGAAGATGTTTCATGCCAAATAACTAAGCTCTAGCTCTTTGGGTTCTTTTAAAGAAGATTTTTTAAGTTTTTACCATATGCATATAGGGAAAATCAATGACCCCCGGGGCGAGGCCAATTTTGACCCCAGGGCTTTAATTTGAACAAACTTGGTAGACACTAACTAGAAGATGTTTCATGCTTAATATCTTAGCTCTAGCTCTTTGGGTTCTTTAAAAGAAGATTTTGTAAGTTTTTACTATATGCATATAGGGAAAATCAATGACCCCCTGGGGCGGGGCCAATTTTGACCCCAAGGCTTTTATTTGAACAAACTTGGTAGACATTCATTAGAACATGTTTCAAGCAAAATATCTTAGCTCTAGCTCTTTGGGTTCTTTAAAAGTATTTTGTAAGTTTTTACTATATGCATATAGGGAAAATCAATGACCCCCTGGGGCGGGGCCAATTTTGACCCCAGGGCTTTTATTTGAACAAACTTGGTAGACTCTTACTAAAAGATGTTTCATGCCAAATATCTTAGCTCTAGCTCTTAGGGTTTTTTAAAAGAAGATATTTAAAGTTTTTTCTTTCGGTTGCCATGGCAACCAGAGTTCTGCAAGGAATTAAATTCTTTGAACAATTTTTAAAGGTGACCACCAAAGGAACATTCCTGTGAAGTTTGGATGAAATTGGCCTAGTGGTTTATGAGGAGATGTCATTTAAAGTAAAAGTTTACGGACGACGGACGGACGACGGACGGACGACGGACGCCGGACGAAAAGCGATCACAAAAGCTCACCCTGTCACTTTGTGACAGGTGAGCTAAAAATAACGAGTCTGTTAAAATTTCAACTGACAAGGGTTACGCGACCCTGAGCATGTTAACTGCACAATAAATGACGTTTATGACGTTGTAAAATAAAAAAAAAAATGTAACAAGCGTCGATCATCCCTTCTGAAAGAATTCTCCCTAGTGTTCTGTGTGTCTAAATCATGTAACTTTGATCAGACCTCATATGTGGAGATGAAGGAAGAAAGAAAATGATCACACTCTCGTTCCACTCTTCGAAAACTAGA